GCTCCTCATCCATCGGCCCAGCCAGACTGTAAGCTCTTTGAGGACAGGGACCACGTATGGTCGTCACCGTTGCATCCCCGGCAACTAGCAGTGTGCCTGGCGCGTGGCAAATGAGAATGAACAGCAGGGGCTAAAGTGCAAGCTGGAGAAACTGAGGCAGGCCCTCGTTCAGATTCACACACGTTTCCTGTGTGCCTATTACACAGAAGATCCTGGGGCTCACCGCCTGGTTTAGGTGGCTGGGGGCAGTGAGGCTGGCCTGGCCCAGCAGTATCCCGACCAGTACTGGGTCTGCAGCTGCAAGACCCCCACCTGATGTGGGAGCTAAGGAGCCCCAGGGACTGGTCCAGAAACAGGGCAGAGTCCCCAGCCAGAGGGAGGAGGCCCCATGAGTACCCACAGGTGGGACAGGCCCTGAATCCTGGTCCCACCTGGCCCTGGGCCCACTGTACTTCCTGCCCTGCCCCAACTTTATCTGGACTTGGGCCCGGCCCTGAGCACCTGCCTTCCCTACTCTCCTGAGAGAGGGCTGGGGATGGGGCTCCCCTCCCCGTGGGCAGCCCAGGAGCCTTGCTGTGGAATAGGCCTGATAGGAACACTGCAGATTTGAGTCCCAGAATCAAGGGGTATCTTAGGAAGGAAGAGAGAAGACGCTCCCCTGACCCTCCACCCTAAGTGCTGTGACCTGGGATCGAGAGAAGCAGGCTTAGCTCAGAGAACGCTGGGCTCGAGTCCCAGCTTGATGCTTTCCAGCTGTGCGGTTGCACCTCAGCTTCCCTATCTGTGAAATGCACATCCGCAGCCCAGGTTGGCTTCTCAGGGTTGGCATAAGACTCAAGTGGGGAAAGAGATGTGAAGGGGCTTTGAGGCGTTGGGTCCTGTAGAGAAAAGTTGGTTATTAGTGTTGTTAAGATCAGTGTTATTTATAGGGCACCAGCAGGCAGAGGCCTGGAGAGGTGGGCAAACTATAAGCCAGTGTACCATCTGCAGGGTACGGTGCGGAGTGAGACCTGCATGTTTGGTGAGTGGAGGAATCCTGTCTCTCCCCAGCTAAAACCTGTCCACTGACTTCTCACAGCACGTTAGACTACAGTAGAACTCCTGTCCATGTTGGCCAAGGCTCCGCGTGGTCCGCCCCCATCTCCTTACCTCCCTGACCTTGAGTCTCACCTCTGTCCCTCCCCTGGTCACTCTGTCCTAGCCACTCTTGCTCCGTGCTGTTCCTCAGAGGTATCCAACTGGCTCCAGCTTCATCACCTTCGTACTTGCTCTTCCCTCTGCCTGGATCTCCCTTCTCTGCTGCCCCAGCTTCTCCTGCTTCATCTCCACTTAGATGTCACCTCCTTGTTCTCCCAAAGAGCAACCACCCACCCGGGTGTCTACCACGTTGCGCCATCTGATTGACTTCCCAGCACTGATCAGCATCATCATAGGCACATTGTTCTTGTTCATTCATTCGTTTGCTCGTTTCTTCTCTGTCTCCTCCAGCTGAGCACATGGACCGTTGTCTGTCTTGTTCTCCACTGTGTCCAGAGACTAACACAGGGCCTGGCACATAGGAGGTGCTCAGTAAGTATTTGTTGACTAAATGAGTACATACAAAGTGAGGAAGGGCAGTGGGACTTTTATTGAGCACCTACTACATGCCAGCCACATTCACTATTGCCTTCAAGACTCATAACATCACTGCCAGGTCAGAATTATTATCCCCACTTCACAGTTGGGGAAACTGAGTTTCAGAGTAAAGAAATGAGTCTATTGAGGTCACTCCAATAGAAGGGGACAGGTGATGGATCTGAAGCCAAGCCTCAGACTGGGGGAAATATTTACAACCTAAACACAAAAATCTTGAAGGTATTAGTAGGTTCTTGGGTGTACACATCTATCAGAGCTCACCAACTGTACACTTTTAAGTTGGAGGCTCTCAACTGGGGATCATTTTGCCCCCAGGAGACATTTGGAAATGTCCTGACACTTTTGTGGTTGTCATGACTGGGAAAATGTGCAGCTGGCATCTAGGGGTAGAGGCCAAGAGTGCTGCTAAACATCTTGCAATGCACAGGAAGGCCCCAAACAAAGAATTATCTGACCCAAAATGTCAATAGGACCGGGATTGAAAAACCTCGCCTTAATTGGATGCAGTTTATGGTACATAAATTATACCTCAGTAAAGTTGATTTAAAAAAAAAAAGATTTGGGGACTTCTCTGGCGGTCCAGTGGTTAAGACTGCGCTTCCACTGCAGGGTGCACAGGTTCAATCCCTGGTCAGGGAACTAAGATCCCGCATGCTGCGCGGTGCGGCTAAAAAAATTTTTTTTAATTAAAAAATAAGAAAATTAAAAAAAAAAAAAGATTTGTAGCCCAAATGGAAAAGGACTCATACCAATCAGAAAGGAAAAAACAAAACCAAATCAGTGAGAGACAATGCCAAATAGTTTAAAAAGGCAAATTAACACATCAGAAAATATAAATAGCCAATACATAAATGATAAGGGGATTCACCTCAATACTAATCAAGGAAATGCAAATTATAACATAAATAATAATTATTTCCCCATCACACGGGAAAAAAAATTTAAGTGACAATATCCTGTCTGGTGACTGTGAGACTGTTCCTCTCGTACAGGGTGGGAGGGAATGTAAACTGGCAAAGCCCTAGTGTTGATTTGGGAACACTTCCTGACATTTTAAACGGACGCACCGTCTACCCGCAGTTCCAGTTACACTTTGTAGAAATGCACAGCGGGCATGAAGAGTGTGCTTCATGAGGAGGTTCACTGAGGCATTGTTTCAAATAGTGAATATTTTTAGGGGAAGCTAAATATCCATGAACATGGGATGAGGTAAATAAACTGTGGTACATCCATCCCGTGGAGTTCTATGCAGCAGGTTGAAATAATGATAAGGTGAATCTCTAAATGCATAATTTTAGGTGGCAAAAAAAAAGCAAGCCGAGAAATCACATTTATAATCTGTTTCTATTCAGATCACACAAAATAAATCTGAAGCAGGTACCATCATTCAGCATCCATCATCCATCACCCCTTTCTTCTCACTAATAAGACCCCAATTTTGAATGGGACAACAATGGGCCAACGCAAAGTTATCACATACCCAGCCCACCTTGCAGGCACACGAGTGCAGTAGGGTGGCCACGTGACCCAATTCCGGTCAGTGAGATGTAAATACAAATCTACCAGGTAGGGCTCTGAGAAAGCCACCATGTTTTTGCTCTAAGAGGGGGACTTGGCCCATGTCTTGCCCCTTCTCTGCCCTTCTCCTGGGCTGAGCATAGGATGCCAGGCAATGAAGCAGCCCTCTTGAGCCATGAGTTTGAAAGTCACGTACCAAAGTGGGATTCAAGGAAGCTGGTCATTGGTGACGTCCCTGAACGAGTCCACCTCTGGCCTTCTTTTTACACAAGAATAATGGAACCTCTAGCTGGCAAAGCCACTGGAGTCTGTTACTTGTTACTTGCAGCCAAACCCAATCCTAGAGATACTATTAACTCACCGTAGGGAGTGTGTTGCTTGAGTCTTTTGCAACAGAACTATCTTTAAGTATTATTAAGTTAGAAGTTTTTAAAATTAAAATATAAATCAAATATTGCCCATCTGGCTAGAGTCTGCGGCCCCTTGATGTTCCTTTTCAAAATGTGTTTGCCAACTGGCTCAAGTTCTTCTGAAGTAGGAAAAAATGCCAAGGGGAAATGGAGGTACACCAAGAGGCTTTCCCCTGACTGCCCGAGGGGGTGGCTGGGGTGTTGACTTCACAGAGGAATCTCCATTTTCCTGATAAGAGGACTCAGGCTGTGTCTCTGACCCCAGAAGGGAGGCTCAGGGGTCAATCTGGGCTGTCCCCCCTTCACGACTGAACACTGTGGCCCTCTAGCTCAGACATGCAACCCCCCAGGCAGTGGCCTGGCCAGCTCTCCCATTTGTTTGTCCTCCTCTTCCCAGAAGCAGGGTGCTCCCTTTATCTGGGGCCAAAGACCCCCGGGGAAGGGATGGAATGTCATCTGTCATCAGGAGGTCGATGAGTCACCTCCTGCTGGTGGGAGGCCACAGCCGACCTGACCTCTCCCTTTTGCCCACCCCCACCCCCAGCCTTCTCTTGTGGGTGGGGAAGGATGGGCATATTGCCTTAAAAGTCATCACAGTGACAGCCACCATCTCTGGGGTGCTGACCTGGAACCAGGCCCTGGGAGGTTAAGGACACAGCTTGGGACTCAGACCCCTGGGTTCAAATCCTAGCTCCAACATGTCCTAACCTGGTGGCCTGGGGAAGTCAGAGAACCACTCCTGACCCCCATTCGTGCATTCAGTAAACATTTGTTGAGCAAGCACTCTACACCAGACCCAGAGGTGCTGAGGGTGCTGCAGTGGACACCCCAGAAACAGTCCTGCCCTTGTGGGGCACAGTGGGTAGAGATATTCTAAATTAATAATGATAAGAATGTTAATAAAATTCCACCTGTCAGTTGGTGATGGGTGCCATGGAGAGAAGGGGACCAAGGTGTGCTGATGAAGGGGGGCTTGTTCATTTAAACGGGTGGCCAAGGAAGGCCCTGAATACATTCACATCTGAGCAAAGACCTGGAGGAGGTGAGAAAGGACCCGCATGGTTATCTCTGGGAAGAGAGTCCAAAGCAGAGGGAACAGCAAGTACAAAGGCCCTAGGGCTGCAGAGTGCTTGGTGTGTTCCAGGAGCAGGGAGCAGGTCAGTGTGGCTGGAGGGGAGTGGTCAGAGAGGCAAGGCAGGGGTCGACTGAGCGGGGCATATAGGCCACTGCCAGGGCCTTGTCTTTTACTCTGGTTAACATGGGAGCCACGGCAGGGTGTTGAGCATAGGAGAGACGTGATCTGACTTCCATCGGGTAGGGAGAAATGGCGGAATGGGGGAGATCGTTTAGAGGACGCTGCAATAATCCAAGCAAGTGCTTGGTGACTCGCGCCGGGATGGGGCCGTGGAAGCAGGGGGAGGGATCAGATGCAGAGGGCTTCTGAAGGCTGAGGGATGCAAAGTGGGGCGGCAGAGGTTGGAGAAAGAGAGGAGCTGGTGAGGACACTAAGGTTTGGGGCCTGAGTCCCTGGAAAGACAGAGGTGGCATTTTCTGAAGTGAAGATGACTACAGGAGGGGTGGGGTCACGCAGGGAGGTGACGAAGTTCAGTTTCCTGCCGGGAGGCTGAGTTCAGTGAGGCGTGTGCAGCCGCAGCTGGGTATTCAAGCCTGAGTTCAGGTGAAACATGCTGGCAGGAGGTGTATGTTTGGAGGTGTTTAGCGTGGAGATGGTATTTAGAGACTGGCTTTCTTCGTCTGTAAAATGGGAATTGAACACCATCTGCTTTGCAAGGTTGCTGTGAGCCTGGCTTAAGCATTGAGAGGCCCCGGGCAGGTAGCAAAGTGAAGGTAAATGTCTGTGCTAGTAATTCCACACCCGTCTCACTGAATCCTCATGAGGTCACTATCATCGTCACCATCTGTGATTTTATAGATACGGAAATGGAAGCTCAGAGAAGTTAGGTGACTGAGCCAGCAAACGGCATAGCCGGGATTCAAGGGCTGACCTTACAGTCCTGCGCTTGACCCTTCCCTCCTGTTGTCCGCATTCCCAGCACCAGGCCCTTGGATCCTAAACTGACCAGACTGGGGGAGGTTCCCAGTTGAGCAGGAAGATGACCATGAGTGGAAATGCCTTCCAGGTAAGACGGGACCTGAGCCTGCCCGACTAGAGGCCCCAGGTACGCAGGAGGAGGGCTGACGAGATGGTGTAGACTTGTGGTTAAGAGAAGCACGTAGTACTAGGCCACCTGAGTCCAAATTCAGCTCCACTCCTCGCTAGCTGTGTGGCCCTGGAGATAGGACGCATCCTCCTTGTGCCTATTTCCCCAATTGTGAAAGAGGATAACAGAGATTGTTGGGAGGACTGAATGGGTTAATTCATGCAAAGTATTTAGAACAGGCCCAGGAATTTAATAGGTGCCTCATAAATGCAGGCCACTGTCATCACTGTTGTGGCTCCAGCTCGGTTTCCATTAAGCATGCACTCCGGGGCATCCCTGGTGGCGCAGTGGTTGAGAGTCCGCCTGCCGATGCAGGGGACGCGGGTTTGTGCCCCGGTCCGGGAAGATCCCACATGCCGCGGAGCGGCTGGGTCCGTGAGCCATGGCTGCTGGGCCTGCGCGTCCGGAGCCTGTGCTCTGCAATGGGAGAGGCCACAACAGTGAGAGACCCGCGTACTGCAAAAAAGAAAAAAAAAAGAAAGCGTGCACTCCCAGGGCCGGGGCCTCCCGCCGTGACCGTGTGTCCATCTGTCCCTTGCTCAGTGCTGCTCGCCTGCCTCGGCCACTGTGAGCTCTGTGTCTTTGGGTTTCTTGCCCTGAGTCTGCATTTCCTCCTGCCCCGAAGTGGGGACAGTGATAACGACCTGGGGTGGGGATTAACAGATGTGGTGCCTGCGAAGGACACTAGGTTGGAACTGTGATTGGCTCAAAGTCGGTGCTCAGTGTGTGCAGACGTTCACAACAGCCAGAAACTCAGACCCCATCCCCCGGAGGCTGGATAAACAAGCTGTGGAACATTCTCACAGTGGAACACCTCTCAGCCGTAAAAAGAACCCACTACTGATGCTTGCAAAAGCACAGTGGATCATGCAGGTGTTACGTTGAATGTAAGAAGCCAGAGGCAAGACAGCACATACTGTGTGATTCCCTCTATATGAAACTCTAGGTGAGACCAGACTAACCTATGATGTGAAACACGATGACCTGTGGTGACAAAGCAGAGATCAGTGGTTACCTGGGGCTGAAGTAGTGGAGGGTTGTTTGCAAAGGAGCATGAGGGAACTTGGTCGTAGAAATGTTTGTATCATGTTTTAGGTGGATGATTGTTTTTGTTTTACATCTTTATTGGAGTATAATTGCTTTACAATGGTGTGTTAGTTTCTGCTTTATAACAAAGTGAATCAGTTATACATATACATATGTTCCCATATCTCTTCCCTCTTGCGTCTCCCTCCCTCCCGCCCTCCCTATCCCACCCCTCTAGGTGGTCACAAAGCACCGAGCTGATCTCCCTGTGCTATGTGGCTGCTTCCCACTAGCTACCTTTTTTACGTGGTGATGTATATATGTCCATGCCACTCTCTCACTTTGTCCCAGCTTACCCTTCCCCTTCCTCATATCCTCAAGTCCATTCTCTAGTAGGTCTGTGTCTTTATTCGTGTCTTACCCCTAGGTTCTTCATGACATTTTTTTTCCTTAAAGTCCATATATATGTGTTAGCATACGGTATTTGTCTTTCTCTTTCTGACTTACTTCACTCTGTATGACAGACTCTAGGTCCATCCACCTCATTACAAATAGCTCAATTTCGTTTCTTTTTATGGCTGAGTAATATTCCATTGTATATATGTGCAACATCTTCTTTATCTGTTCATCCGATGATGGACACTTAGGTTGTTTCCATGTCCTGGCTATTGTAAATAGAGCTGCAATGAACATTGTGGTGCATGACTCTTTTTGAATTATGGTTTTCTCAGGGTATATGCCCAGTAGTGGGATTGCTGGGTCATATGGAAGTTCTATTTGTAGTTTTTTAAGGAACCTCCATACTGTTCTCCATAGTGGCTGTACCAATTCACATTCCCTAGGTGGGTGATTCTTGAGTGCATCTGTCAGATCTCATCAAATGGAAACCATAAACATCTGTGTATTTTATTGTGTGTTCATTATTTCCCACTTATTTTAAAAGGTAGAAAAATTTTGTTGTCATTGTCATAAACGTATTATTGTTTCTCTGTTGTATGGCCACTAAGACCCCCCAAAGCCCCATTTTCCCTGCCCCTGGTGCTGTCAAAGTCCTCTGGCGCATGAGGGGATGGCCTGGCACTGCAGAAAGAGCCCTTGGACCCAGGTACAAACCTGCCTCTTCCTTGCTGTCTGCCTCAGGCGGGTCATTTAAACCTCCGTTTCCCTATCTGTTAAATGGGGCTAATACTGGTGTCCTGCTCCTGAGATTGTTGCTGGGATTCAGAGAGATGTGAGGTGCAGAGGCCTTGGATAGTGGAGGCCCACGAAAACAAACAGACAGCACAGAGAAGCTGGGAGAGGGTGGGATGGCTGAGGTCTGGAGCCAGACCACTGTGGGGGGCAATTCCTGCTCCTTGGGCTAGTCCCCTAAGTCCTCTGTGCCTCAGTTTCTTTATCTGTAACACTAAGATGGTGATAACACCCATCAATAGGGCTGGTGTTTTGAGGGTTTAAAGAGATAGTCCACACTGAGTTAGGACAGTGCTGGGCACACAGTAAGTGCTCCGTGAGTATCAGTCGTTGTTGTCCTTATTTTCAGGGATGGGAGGAAAGGTGCTTGCAACCTCGGGGGCTAATTCAGAGAGCCCAGTACCCTGAATTGTGGCCCCAACCAGGGTCACGGTGTCCTGCGGGTGGAGGAACGGGCAGCCCAGCCTCAGGGGACCTGGGTCACGGAGCCGCCAGCCCCCCGCGGCTGGGACAGATCGCTTCCTTCCTCTGTTCTAGGTGCCACGCAGGCCCAGAAACCGCCTGATGTAAGCAGGCCGGCCTGCCCTCTGATGGAGAGGAAGTGGGCGGGTGCCCGGGGCACAGATGAGCCGGGCAGACGTGCCCCGAGGCGGTGCAGTCAGGCTGATGTGGGCATCACACACCCGCTGCTTACGGAGCTGGCCCTGGCCCTGTGTGCTTCCGCTGAGCGGCTTCAGGGTGGCCCAGGGTCAGAGTGGAGAGATCCAGGGTGGGCCGGGGTCAGGGCATGTGGTCTGTCCCTAGTCCTCTGAACACAGCCAACGACCGGCTCTTGGGGCCGTTGGTCTGCGGGAAGGGTGGGAGGTGTGTGTCCCGGGAGGCGTGGCTGGGGGTGTCTGGGGGGATCCGCTGTGTGCGGGTGTGTGTGGGTGACTATGTAAGGGTGTGTGAACGAGTGAATGCATGGCTTTAAGAAGGTGAATGTGTGTGCGTATGTGTGTGCACATGTGTGTGACTGCGTGTGTGGGGGTGTGAGTGAGTAGTTATCTGTGTGCTGTGTGTGAGGGTGCCGGGTGGGGAGCTGTGTCTGTTGCTCAGTGTGCAAACATGTTCGGGCATGTGAGCATGCATCTGGGTGTGTGAATGACAAAATGAGTGTGTGTGTTTAATTGTATGCGTGTGTGTGTCCCTGGGTCTGGATCTCGAGGTCAGTGTGTGTCTGAGTTTGTGCGCGGGAGCGTGTGTATCCCTGACTCTGTTGCGTGTGTGTGTGTGCGCGCGCGCGTGCACGCATTATTTCACTATTGTGAAAAGTTTTGCAAGGAACCACTTTTGCATACAGAGCTTGGCTCCCTTGCATGAGAATGTTCATGAATGGGTGGGGTCAGTGGGTTGATGCATTTAGAATCTTAAAGTAGCCAAGGAGTTCCCGGGGAGGAAGGAGGAGGTGTGGTCTTCAAACTGAGCACTGACCAATCAGAACAGCTGCCAGCTGCCAGTACCCGGGCCAGCCGGACCAGCCTTGATGATGCCAACTTCTGATCCCAACAGTAGCATCCAAGAAAGGCTTGAGCTGGAGGCATTCTGAGGCAGCCCCCAAACCAAACCAGCAAATGGTCAGCCTTTTTATCAGTCAATAATAGTAGCAAACATTTACTCATTCATTCAACCACCAATATTTCCTGAGCAACTACAGTGTTCCAGGCGCAGTTCCCGACACTGGAGATGCAGCCAAGAACAAGATGGACAAAAGTCCCTTTGCCGGTGGCACTAACATACTAGTGGGACCAAGCAGGCAATAAAAAAATGAACAGCAGATGGAGAGGGTTAATTGGTGATAGGTGCTGTAGATAAAAATAAAATAGGAGAGGTAGATAGAGAACAACAGATGGGTTTGCTGCTTTGAAAAGGTTGGTCAGCTAAGACTTCAAAGGGAAGGTAACATTTGAGTGAAGACCTGAAGAAGGTGAGGGGTGAGTTATGGGGTTATCTAGGGGAGGAGCATTCCAGGCAGAGGGCACAGCAAGTGCAAAGGCCCTGGGGTGAGCGCATGCTTGGCCTATTCAAGAAAGAGAAAAGGTGACGATGCGGATTTAATGTGTGTGTGTGTGTGTGTGTGTGTGTAACTGATTATAAAAGCAAAGAGTGCTCCTGGAAAGATCAAACAATAGAGAATGAATAAAGGGGAAACTGAAAATCGATAGTAATTGGAGTGGGGGGAGGGGGAGATGGAATAAGTGTCAGGGTGTCTGTTGCACAGTTCACTTGATAATCAAAGCAATTTTCCATTCTGACAAGGCAGCATCAAAACAGTGCAGCTGCATCCAAATCTCTCAACCGCGGCAAAATGCCATGTTTATGGCTTTCACCCCAGCCCCGAGCCCAGCCAGGCACATAGTAGGGCTTGCTGAAGGGAGTCTCTGCCTTCCATGTTCTCCCAGTTCCCTGCAGCCTGAGGGGGAGAGGAAAGATGGGTGTAAACCCCCCAATGTAGAGACTTAGCCCCCAGTCTCCGTGGGTTGCCTGCCCGGCCCCCAGTGGCCCTAGAATGACAGAGTCACCTCTCTCTGCTCCTGCTTTTATGAGCTGTGAAGGAGGCTTGTCCCACATTGCACAATTGCCCCTTAATCGCTATTTCCTCTCAGTTATGAATTATGTCATGGATACGGTCGCTCACGTTATTAAACTTCCACAGAGGCCTT